CATAGCCACAAAGTTCATGGCGTGAGCAAGTGTTGGTAGAAGCAGAACTTTATTCAGGGGATGTTTTTCCACTGCGTGACCCATCTCTACCTTGTAATGTAAACACCTCCTCTCTGGTCACGATAGCTTAGAATTCCTCCCTGGACCTGTGATAAATTACAGGAATTATCCTCATGGTAAAATCTCACCAGGGAAATATTGGATGGATTTTTCATTTTTTTCTTTGCCATCCAAATTACTGGGAGCAAGGGTGGGAGCCGCCACTGTGTGACCGGTTAGTTCTCTGCAGGGGTCCAGGAACTGCAACGTGGGAACCTCTGGCCTGCATAAAGTGAGACTCAGCCAAAAACATGATCAGCGTCAAAAGGGGATGCATGAAAATGACAATGGATGCTTAACATAGCTGAAAGCCCTGGTGTTTCACAACACCTCCTATGATTCTCACTCCCGGTGTTATTCTTAGGCATGGTCTCTGGAGCAGCTGATCACATGTGCCATGACTGCTGACTCCGTCTGCAGTCAGAGCCCTCCTTGTGCTACATCCACAGACAGAAAGGAGGATCATGCTGGAGATCACTGATATGCCAGCACCTTGGGCTGGGTAAGGGAGGAAGTCATTGCTGCATGAGCAATGGGAAACTGGTTGAAAAAAACATTGATTCATAGAGAAGTTGGGGTGGCAGGGACCTCCTGAAGTCATCTAGTCTAGTGGTTCTCAACTTGTTTTTGTACCAGAACCCATTTGTAAACATCGATGGCCAGTCCTGACTCCTGACCTGCTGCCCCTCGCCCCCGGCCCCACACTGTGTGGGGCATGGAGTGGGTGTGTGGGGCAAGGGGGCACCCAAGCAGCCCCTTGCAGGCTGCAACTCTGACACCCTGCAAGGGAAAAGCCACAGTTTCCCAATTTTTTTTTCCTTTAAAGGAGAATCCAGTTTTAAAGTTTGCTGATCCATTTTTAAAGTTTGTTCACAACCCTTTCCTATATTTTGGTGACCCACTTTTGGGTTGAGAAACACTGACTAGTCCAACCCCTTGCCTGAGGCCGGATCAGCCCTATCCAAACTATCTCATACAAATATTTAATCTTAATTCTTTGTAAAACTACAGTCAACCCAGACACAATGAAAGACCTACCAGCCTAACATATGACAAGTAAAACAGGGGAACCACAGCAACCAATGTCCTGCATGTATAAAAGGTTGTTAATATATGCTCAAGGGAGCCCAGGTAGAGGGCCATGCCCCCTGCTACAGAGGAAGGTAAAAATTCCCACAGTCTGTACCAATCTGACCTGGGGGTAAAATTCCTTCCTGACCCCAAAGATGAAGAAAGGAGGCAGCTCCCTGCACTGTGGGGAAGAAAACCAGGTTTGCTGTATGTGTCCTGTGGCCTTTGAGGATCCACTTGGGAAGCTGAAAACCAAATATTAATCACTTGTATCATGGCAGCCGATTGCCCTAAGTCACTGGGAGAAGTAGTGGCTCCAATGCATGCTGATGGCTAAGTTTTTTCTCTTGCTCTGCCTACAATTCTCAGCAATTTAGAGACCGGATGTGGTGTAGCCCGGCACTCTGATGACAGATACCTTCACCATGCAGATCAACAAAGAGGTGGTACGCAGTACAGCTGGTATAAGACGCATGGTTTTGGTCACTACTTCCTTCCCTTTTCTGCACAGACAGCTTGTCTGGGAAACCCCTCAGCATAAGAACTATTCAGGCCCAATGACCATGCTCTCACCTTCTCTTCCTACATATCCTGCCTTGCAAATCTGCCAGTGGAGAAGATTCCTTCTTGGCTACCAACAATGAGCATGTGATTGGGAGCCATGCCTAGCTCAGCTGCCTCTTATTCCAGGTCAGGAAAATCCACTTGCCCCTGGCACACTGCAGCTTCTGGGCTACCTTTGCCCCAGACCACCCAAAACAAATCGTGACCACCCCCTGCCTTTGAACCAAACCCAGTCTCTTCCTGCTTTTGGTGGCCAGATTTCATTTACCAAAATCACCTAAGGCTAGTGATAAAGACAGTGAAACAGAGGTGTTTCTTTACACACCGCCCAAGGATTCCTTCTGCCTGAAAAAGTCAAGGACTCTGCCTGCAAGTCACACATGTCCTACCTAGCTATTTATCTTTACAACGCGCCTAGGAGGTAGGGATGTATTCATATCCCCATTTTAAACATAGAAAATCGAGGCCACGGACATGACGGGCCACCTGTTAGGCATCTCAGTGTGATCTTATTCCACTCAGCTTGGGTCTCAGAAATGCTCTTCAATGCAAAGCACAGGTGGGTTCTCCTCCTACTTGCCGCTTTCTCTGACATTGCCTGATGGCTCAGACAATGGCTGTTACAAAAGCAGGGGTGTTTCATGGACTCCAATAGGGTGGAACAGGACTGCAATTCGATGCCTAATAGATGGAACGGGATCTGACCCTATGACTTGTCCCAGGTCACACAGGAAATCTGGGACCGTCCTGGAATCAAAATCTCCCACATCCCATGGGGACGTTGTACTTGCAGAACCATCCTTCCTTTTATTCCACCCCCTCCATGAGTTGCAGATGGACAACACTTTCCTTCCACTCTCCCACAGATGATTTCCATCTTCAATACAGAACTATTCTCTTCGGGCTTGTAGCTGCACCGCATCCAGTACAAGAAATGCCTTCAGACCCTTGTATCCCACCCAACTAAATGGCTCTGCTCCTCCAGGAGATTTGCAGAGCAGAAGGGGATCTCACACTCACCCTGAATGAGGGTACTAATTTCTTTGGCTTTAGCTGCTTTGGTGGCAAGGCAAAGACTCTGTAGCTGTTGAGCCCATTTTATAGGAGCACCCAGGTGGAATCAAACTGCTGTCACAAACTGCCCTCTGCTGGACGAACACAGAAGTCACCCATACATCGTGGGTCCTTCGCTGCAACCAACCAACAGAGATCATCCTGCAGTGTCAATGGAAAGGGTGTGCGTTTTTGTAGCAACTGCTCTCTCCACAACCCTTGTGATGTCCTGGCTTAGTAACTGTGCAGTGCGAGGCTGTAGGGGTTACAGATTTACTGTTTCTCTGCTTCAGTCCACAGCCCCTGGCTGGTGGGGTCTAGTCCTCCCTGCGATTCTCTGTCTTGTACCTGTGAGCCTTGGTAGAGGAGCAAATCCCCTCACTTAACCATGACTGTCTACAGCCTGCCTGCTTGAGAGGGAAATCTGAGCACAGAAAGGGTTGGCAGCCACTGTCCTAGTCCCATCCTATCAGTGGGATCATTTTGTGCGAAATGCAGGGCAGACAAGGCCTCTCTCCCCTCTTTGGCTGCTGTATGGAAAATAGGATCGTGGTGTTTTAACAGCAGGACCCTCAACAAAGATGAGTCCTGTTGCTAACACAGTGAATCTTTGTATCTGAGGGCAGCTGTGCAGCGCCAGATAGCCGGGCACAAAACTTGCAAAGAAAGTGGCTCTTCTCGTAGGAGGTTTAATTAAGGGTAATAGTCAAGCAATACCATTAAAATAATAGTTTGATGGGAAACTGCCCAGAGAAGCACAAAGTAGGAGCGAGAGGGCAACCTCGTCATAAGTGGTGGAGAGTTAATTAGACCTGACTGGGGGTCACTCCAAACCCAGCATTTTACAGCAGGTGCTTCTATGAGTGCCAACTTTCAACATATTCCTTATTTTAGTCTGGCCTTTTTATTGCATTGGGCACATGGCCTTAAGACAGAAACTGATAGGAATATTTTGAAGCAGAGGTGCTGGGAAAAAGGAACCTGAGGGTGGCATTTTCAAAGCCAAGGTTGCCAGAACACTTGGCTTTTGGGTTTCGTCTTCCTGGGTATAAATGCAGTGATGTGGACAGCCCAAGAGCCCAGCTATTTAAGAAACTTGACAGATCCACCTGCCACTGAATTTGCAGCACAGACAAGTGTGAAGTTTAAAGATCCAGTCCAAGACCTTTCAGAGTCAATGGGAGTCTTTCTATTGCTTTCAATGAGCCTTGGATTGGGCCCTAATTAACCACTGTGTCTGAAATGGGAATGGCTGCACAGTCCTGGAGACTGAGGGCCTATAAATTTAGCCAGATGGCTAAACAACTTACCATGCATGCCCCTCATTACCATCATATCAAAGCAGTCATTCTCTAGGATGTTTTTGTCCTCACACCCTCCTCCCCCAAGAGGCAGGGGAAGCTAGTATCCCAACTGTACATCCAGGGGCTTATCGTCCTGGGAAGCTGTGAGTCCTAATGCTACTACTAGTAAATGGGAATTCTCCTTTGAGCTCAGAGGTAAGGACATGTATTCTGAGTGCAGAGGCTGCATGATAATACCTGGCTTCTATAAAACCCTCTTCATCTTTAGCTCTCCAGGAGGTGAATGCCATTGGCTACAGCATTGCCATTAGAAAATGAGGCCTCAGAAAGATTTAGATTAGAAAATTCAGGCTTGGTGAGTTCCAGATGATCCTATAGGCTAAGTACAAACAGTCAAAAAGCCTGAGGCTGAATCGATTCAATCTTTGCAGGTTAGTTTAAGCTGCGTAGATTAAACTAATAAGCAAGTGAACAGACATTCACTTTTGATTCCAGAAATGCAGCCACGTGCCTGCAGTGGCCCAAGCCAGAAGCCAGGGGGTGCTAGAGCACACCTTCCTGCTTGGCTGGAGCAGACAGCTTGCACCAAGGCTAGCCTGCCCACCCTGGTAAAGCATCCTGGGATGCTGTGGGACTGTGAGTTAACTTGAATGTGGAGGGGATCTGGGACAGCTCAAAAAACTGATTTAATCTAAATCAGTCAAGTCTGATACTCCACCCATCCAGGCTTATCTTAAACCAGTTCCAGCCACTTTGAAAGTGTTTTATGTGCACTGAACTTCTGTTGTGTTCCAGATTTGAACCACTTTCGAATCACTTATACTGGTTTATGTGCAATTCCTGTCCCTAGCCATAGTGACAGGAGAACAAGCAAACCAATGACATCTGGAGAGTGAAATCTGAGCGCTGAGAGGAGATGTGAAGATCACTTCCAAAGCTTTATTTCTGGTTTACAGCTACGTGACTCCAGTGGCTAACAAACACCCTTAGAGAAAGCACATGCTTGTTAAAGAGCCCCCGCCCCTTCTACGAAGGTGTGAAAACATCCAGTGCCCGCACTAATGAGGTCCTTCTGAACAGTTAGGGAAGATAAGGCTTTTGAGTATCTTTTCAAAGAAGCGAAAAAGGGCACAGCTCCATTTTTCAGGGTCCTTTGGCAGGCACCCTTAAGAGAACCATGCACTTTGTAGCTCAGCAAATTGGACAGCAGAAGTTGCCATTAGAAACAAATGGGAAATCCTGACATCAGGGGTGGCCAGAGCAAGGTCCACGGGCCAAACACAGACTGCAGAATCCTATAATAGGATGCACAGCTACCCTCAGCTTTTATTGGGAGGGGGCTGCAGGCTGCTCAGGTCAAGATGGAGCAGAACATGCTGGGAGTTGTACCGTCCAGGGGCTGCACCTATGCAGCACAGAGGCTGGGACCTGCCAATGTCTTCACGAGTCAGGAGTGGCTCTAGGTCTCCTTGCAAGTTGCCTCTGCAGAGAAGGGATGAACAGAGTGGAAGCGTGTCGGCCCTAGATGTGTTACACATCCCTCCTATAGCATCAGTGGTGTCTCTAGTATATGTGTCTATGCACTGCACTTGTCTCCACACACAGATCCCCGTATTGACTGCTCTTCTAGTCTGATTTTACCAGGCCCCGCAGTTCGGCTCCAGGCTGTGCCATGCTGCCGTGGCTATTCGGAGGGTTCTGTGGCCATGGTGTCTGCGTCAGGAGACAGCGAGAGCCTCCTGGCTTCCCCATTGTTCACGGTTTCCTTGCTCTCTTCCGGCACGGGATCGCAGATTTTATCTTCTGGTTTCTGCTTGAGCTTAAGTGACGAGTCCCTCCTGGCGAGGAGCGTGGGCTGGAACCCAGGGAACCCTCCGCTCAGCGTTGAACGCTTCTCTGGGAACAGACACAAACAAAGGATTATTTCCCACAGCAAATGCAGCTTTGGACAAAGGCTGCCCACCCATGAGCCTCTCACCATTGTTATAACAGCGTGATATGGCAGCCGTTCATCCCGAAGCATTTTACAAGCTACAATGTATTGTCACATGTCACCCACTACTGAAATGCAACCACTTCTGGGGTGGAGTATGGCAGCCAGTAAACAGTGAAGAGCAAGCGCTGAAGACAGCAAGGGGGAAAAGAGACAGAAGGTAATCACATCCCTGCTTCTGGGAGGAGGGGCACAGGTTCTTCAAGCACTTACAGCCTTGATTTTATATCTGATCCGGAAGAGGATGGCACTCTCCCACAACGAGTTCAGACTTGATTGCAAAGAACACAGCTAAGAGATTCAATAGTATTTCCACTAACAGTACAGAAGTGTTCTTTGAAGGCCACCAGAGTAATAGCCAGGCCCAACTCTACTGAGCTGGTGGGGTACAGAAGTACTGCAAAGCTGACACGGCTGCATCTCTCAGACTCGGCTATATCTAGTCCCGAGGCCTTGGCTGGCCCAGCTCTCACCTCCTGGCCCAATGGGGTGCATCAGTCGGTTCATTTGCACATTCCAGTGCTTGACATTGGTGCTGGCCTGTCGCAGCTTCCTCTGGGCCACCTGAAACAAAGAGGAGGAGAAGAGTGTCATGACAGGATGCCTGCAGCCAGCCTGCCCAGCCCACAAAGCCCAGCGGTTACCATCCTCACTGCACAAGAACTGGGCCTCGATCTTAAGCTGCCTTGGCAAATGGAGCCTGATCCAAACCATTCAGGTCCTGCTTTGGCAGGTATGCCAGTTTGAGATGGGCCCAGGAACTGGAATCAGCTCTTGGAAACTAGGAATCCCATGCACTGAAGGAGTATGCCATATGTGGACTGTAGCCCCAGATGTATCGTGGGTCCCTAACCCAGCCTTAGTCAGTTTGCTCAGGGCTGCCCTGTCCTGGCCTGCATTCTTGCTGCACTAAATCCCTTTGCACTGTCATCTCTGCTGTCCATCAGGCATTCCCTTGTAATCCCTGCAGGGCAAGACTCTTGCCTTCTTTTACCGCCACTCAGTGCCAGGCACGCAGTTGGCATGGCACAGACACTGAACAGACAGCTGCAATAAATCCACCGCAGTGTGGAAAGGTGGTTGGTGGTTTGCTCTGCCAGCCCTCGAGCCCTGCTCTGTCATCAGCAACTTCTCACTTGCACTTCTCACTTGCGAGGTGAAGGCAAAGGAGCAACTCCCCAAATCCACCACCTCCTCTCTGACTTCCAGGATTCACTAGGAACCTGCTTGCGACAGCTGGGACTGGACTGTCAGCATGTGCTGCCTCCTTGTGATCCATCACAGAGGAGACTGCTGCTGTACCTAATGGAGCACCTTCAGCTCAAATGGTAGAGGCCTGTGCTATGGGGCTGGAAGGAGCAGGTCCAAACCCCTCTGCTGATCCAGGCTGAGACTGTTACTCAGGCAAAGCAAATTCTGGAACTGGAACAGACTCTGCTCCCTCCCAGAGAGCTGAAAGCAGAACCCCCCAGGCAGCATTTGGGACTCTGTCCATTAGAGCAGCTAGGGATCATCAGCCCCTGTGCCCAGCAATGCAGAGTATCTGGCTACTGCTTGATGACCGTAACTCAGCCACATTAGACAGAAGGGAGCTGTGCTTGTAGGATGGCCCCTGCCCTCCAGTTTAACAGGGCTGTAATTTTGTCACCAGCGATGCAGCTATTCTGTGTTTATGCAATGGGAGAACAAACCAGACTGAAGGAGAAGTACATGCTAAGCATAAATCCCTTGGCTTTTTCTAGCGTGGACACACTGATTTCAGCTACAGAAAGCTATCCTGTAGTGGGGGAGGCACTGAGGGCAGGCTGGGTAAATATCTCCCATAAACATTAATGATGCCCAGGGATGTGGAGCTGCCCCGATGCTCACCATGACATCCTGGTCCACCCGCTGCCTGTTCACTCTCACTTCTTCCAGCTGCTTCTGGGCTTCTTCCAAGTATTTATTTTTGTTTTCCATCTCCTGCTTGAGGACCAGCTTTTCCCGCTGGGTCTTGATGATATACTCCTCCTGCTCCTCCTTCAGCTTCATCAGCTCCTTCAGTTTCTCCTCTTCCTCAGACAGCAATCTGCAGAGGAAATGCTCAAGGTGGTCACAGAAGAGCCTGTACCAGTGCTCCAGTGACACCAACACCCAGGAGGGTCAGAGGTAATTCCTGATCTCAGCCAGCAGGAGCCAATGGTGGGACTGGCATGTGGACGCTAGTTGGAAAGGGTTGGTGCTGTAAGGAAGCATGTGTAGGAGCACTAGCTATGTGAGAGAAACTCACAGGTGCTCCCGTCTCTGGCAGAGTGGAGAGGAGTGAAGGGGGCATTTGCTGGTGTTGTGCCTGCAAACCTGTGACCTTGGGAGCAGGAGCTCGGGAAGCAGGAACTTCTACTCTCTGGCCTAAAGGATGCAGCTCAGTTGGCCAAGGCAGGAACAGGCTTATCAACCTCCGTCTGTAGCCCAGGCACCAGCAGAAGGGGAGGCAGCACCACAGGGTGTGGGCATGGTCTATACCTGCTGTGGGCAAGATCACAGCTACCCAGGCCCAACCTGCCCCAGGAGGCGGCACTGCAGGAAGGGAGGCAATAGCACAAGCTATGAGGCCTGCTCCCAACTCCTCTGGGCTGTAAAGAGCAGGCATGGAGGGGGAGGGGGGGCGCCGCTGGCAGCGTGGGTATGAAGGTGAGTCTCTCCAGCCGCACCTGGCCTGGGCGTATCTCACAGATTCCTCGTCCTGGCGTGCTTTCACCTCCTGCTGCAGCGCCTCCTGCAGCCGCTTCTGCATCTCCTCCAGCTCCACGATCCGCTTGCGCTGACGCTCAGCCTCGGCCTCCTTCAGGACCATCTCAGCCTGCATGGAGGCCCGAGCCTGCAGAGCCAGGGAGAGGGCAGTGGTCAGTATGGGGTGCATGTGGCCAGTGGCTGAGATTGCCACTTCTTTTTTTTTTTAAAGAAATTTTTCATGTTCCAAGCCAACTCAGCCAAATCAAGTCCAAATCCATGAGTTAGTCCAGAACCATAAGTGGCCCTACAACCAGCAAATATCCTCCACCCCTGCCAGGGGCTTCAGATATTTCCAAAGTCTTTTGGCAGGCATCCTACATGCAGGCCCAAGCCCAGAGCCTTGGGCTTTGGATGCCCCCAAGTTTTGCCTGCCCTCAGCCATCTGGCCACCTTGATTTCCCAGCTCTTCCAGACACTGCCTGGCTGGGAAATCTCTTCCCCCTCCAGGACCCTTGAATGCAAAGAGCCATGGTCAGGAGACAGGGCACCACTGCCATCTCTTTCTTTTTGGTGGGGAAAACAGAGCGGGGAAGTTTACCCTGGGATCTCTGACCTGCTGGAGAATCTGAGGAGGCAGGCAAGGGGAGAGCCTCAATGCAGGACTGCAAGAAAGGGTTCCCCAAATGCAGGGACAGCCCCAGCAGCAGGAAGGGCTTGTGCTGGAAACTGAGGGACTTGTACAGACTGCCCTGGAGCTTGCTAGTGAACAGGCCCAGGAGGAATCTTGTCCCCATGAGCTGCCACATAAGTGACAGCGGGGGAAGCCTCCCCAACAAAGGCACCACCTTCCCCTGCTGGCCAACCTGCTCGGCCTCCTGCAGCTGGATCTCCAAGGTCCTCTGCATCTCCTCGTGCTGCAGCCTGCGCCGCTGCTCCTCTTCCTGCAGCAGCAGCTCCGCTTGCCTCTGCGCCTCCTTCAGCAGCTCCAGCTCCTGCAGCTTCCTCTCCTTCTCCTCCTGCAGCTGCTTGAGGCGCTGCATCTCTTCCTCCTTGGCGGCCTTCCGCTTCTCCCGTTGTTCCCGCTGCTCCCGACGCTTCTGCTTCAGGTCCTTGTGCAGGGACTTCTTACCCTCGGCTTGCAGCCGGATCGCCGTCTGGATGGCTGCAAGGCAAGGAGGGCAGCTCGCCATGGATCCAGGGACTGCAGTGTCCAAGCAGCCACCTGGCCAGAGCATGGCCTAGGCAAATGAGATTGGAGGCCTGGGGGACAGGGCTCCCAGTGCTGTGCTCTGCCGTTGGACACCACTTGATGCACTTGCATGTAAAATGCAGTCAATGGTGTTACCTGTCCATACCACTGACTCGGGGCCTGGACACACAAGATATTAAGTCCTGGGGTAACGGTGGATGCACGACAGCTATTCTGCTATAACTTAGATGGGCATAGTTTCACCTCTGATTTTTCCTGGGATAACTAACTACGCTGGGTTCTTGTACATTATACCAGTGCAAAGCTATACGTCATGGGCCGTTCCTTTTTACACTGCTATACAGGCAAGGTACATGGGTGCAGATCCCTCAAGTGTCCAGGCCTCATTGAGTGACTTCAAAGCAAAGCCTGCTGAAACCCACTGACTTCAAGGGGAACGAGAGCACAAGCAGTTGCCTGCACTGAAGCCCATGGGCATCATCAGCTTCTTGAAGAAGGATGTGGACTCTCTGTGCTATGGGCATGGCCCACCCTCCCCAGGGGCTGGGGATGTGGTGAAAGAGCAGGGCACTAACAGCTCTGGACTGCAGCCTCTGCTATTTCCAGGGCTTTCCTCTCCAGGGGAAGAGGAAGCCAGGAGGGAGCTGGGAAAGGGTGAGGGGGCAGAGCAGGTACTGTGGTACATACCCAGTGTCCACTCCTGCCGCTGCCTGGTGTCCGAGGCACTCATTTCATACGTCCGGGAAGAGGTTTTCACACAGAACATGCACCGCTTCCCATCCCGGTCAGGCAGGACCTGCAGAGAGAGGTTAGGGAGGGAGGGGAGTATCATGGCACCCCTGCCCACAGCCCAGGGCAGCCACCACCCAACCCCGCCAGGTCTCCCAACTTCCTACCCGACAACTCCCCATTCACCGCTTCCCCATATCCCCTGCCTCTTCTGCCCCTTGGTCCTGGATGCAGAGGCAGGAGGGTCAAAAGAGGGAAACGTTCATTCCTCTCCGCTTGAGTCTCTAGATCAGTGAAAATGGGGGGAGAAGGGAGCACTCCCAGGCCCTCTGTTAACCCCTTCTTTGCTGAAGGAAAGCCATTGTGGCAGCAAACTTGTAAATGTCAGAGTCTTGCCAAATTAGCATTACTGGGATAAGTGCCAGCTGTAGAAATGCCCCTTCCTTACTTTGCCCCATGCACGCACAGGGTGGGAGACAGCACAGCTGCACTTGGCTGGCTAGCATCTGTGCTGCTGTCTCACAAACCAGGCTTGTCAGACACAACGACTCCCCAAGTCCAGTCCTGAATGTCACGACACCCCATGACAGCAGCAAGGAAACGTGGGCTGGAGTGAGCCCTAGTGAAAAGGGGCTGTATTGAGAGCTTGAGCACCAAGTCTTTGCTCTCTCTGTGCCCAAGATGCCTCCTGTCTGGTCTGGCCCAGTCTCTAGAGGCCATTTGTTCCTTGGTCTCTCCACAGACAATCGGTTAGGGCCAGTTGTAGCAGTGATTGAGGGGTGGCCTGGCAGGACCTGGACTGAGATATAGCAAACTCAAATCAAGTAGAAAAACCATCACCTATTGCCCTCCTTGCCTTAGCCTGTAAACAATCTACTGGTTCTGGTTCTTCTACATCACTCATCACGGTGGGATCCAGCCTCAGGGGAACTACTGGCAGAAACAGTCTGATGCATTCCCAATGCTTTTCCAAGGCTATTACCCAGTACCTGCTATCACTTGTAACAGCAGCACGTGGCTCCATCTCTCTTACACACACACACACACACTTAGGTATTAGCGATTACCCCCATGAGACAGATGAGCCCAGTCACCCCACAAGCCCCCTCCACCAGAGCCTGGGTGCTTACCTCCACGCAGCAATGCTTGTCAAGGGCGATGCTCCCCTTCTTCTCCTTCCGCTCCTCACTCATGTAGTAAGAAAGGCTGCTTGGCTTCAGTGTGAACCACCGCTCGGACCAGTTCCTCCTCAGCTGGCCCTTCTTCCAGAGGTAACCCTGTAGCCAGAGACAGGCAGGGACTCACAGTCCAGGGGCTGCACCAAGCCTTGCCCCCATCCTGTGAGTTTAATGGAGGGGACTGTAACTGGTTCCTGCCACGGTTATTTCAGATATCACACTTCAGCCTGAGTCCAGCTACCAGGTGATTTGTCCTCAGGGCCATCTAGGTGCATCTGCACCCATTAATCTTCCTAGCAGAGGGCCCAGGGGTGCACGCTGGATAAATCTCAGCCACTGTCCCTTGGGGCATCAGGAGGATGTACACACATGGCCCAGTGTCAGCAGCCAAGAAGCTGTGTGTCCTGGTATGCTAGAACTGCACAGGGAGCTGGGAGGACCAGTAATACCAGTTACATGGGCTCTAGGTCCTGGCCACACAGAGTAAAACACAGCAGTGTGCTGACCTGAGTCTAGGAATACAGCCTTGACCTCCAGCACGGGTAGCTCCCACATTACCCACCGTGTGCTGCCTGTGGTGGTAACGGCCAGACCATGTTTAGAGCCAGCAGCTGGCTGCAAACTGTGTTCCAAGTGTGAACAGGCTTTTCTCTCCCAAAAAACCCAATGCCTTCCTCTGCTTCCAAGCAGCCACATGCAAACTCAGGCTTTACAGAGACACTTGGCTACATGTCTAAGACCTTCCAGGATCTCAGACTGTGGGGAAGACAAGAGCTGCTTCCACCCTACAGGTGGGTGAATCAAGGCAGACTGATGTGGCCCAGGTTAGGAAGCGAATGTGGCATGAAGACCACCCCAGAGCCCCCTATTTCCCCATTCCTTGCTTGAAGCCACCAGCTTGACTGATGCCTGATCGGATACGCTGGGTGCTGTGTTCCCATATAGCAGTGAAAAGACCTGGGGCTGGCACCCTTGCCAGACTCATCCCTGGGGTGTCTCCTGGGGAACTGGCTTTCCAGGAAGGAGTGGGACAGGGTCCAAAGCCCTCCAGGGAGGCTCTCTGGGCTATTCTTAGGTGACTGTGTCTTTCCTGCTTTGAATTGCTCTTTGTTCTCAGCTGGGTGGGATCACAGTGGGGTTTCTCAGTGCATCACAGCCTCTGCCCTTGCCCATATGGGGGTGAGAAGAGCAGCAGAGAGAGGGAAGGGCCTTTCTAGGCAAGAGCTCAGTTTTCCTCTAGATGGACACTATATGGACCCATGGCCCAGGTTAGAGTGAGGAGTATTCGCAGCCCGTTTCCATAGGGGTGGGATCCCAAGCCAAGCTCCTCTCCTGTCCCCCAGAGCGTGAGGAGCTCCTTGCCTGCTTGAGCACGTCCTCAATGACCTCCTGATACACCTCTTCGATGGCCATGCTCACAGCCTCCTGCTCGATCCCCCGCAGGAAACGCCCTGAGTTCACCAGGTCCAGGAACTGCCAGACCGTCAGGCCACCCTGCTGCTGGGGCTCCTGGGAGAGGTAGTCGTCCAGCTCACAGCTGTTCAGCTCCACGTTCATGGCAGTGCAGATCTTCTTCAGCAGATACTCCACCTGCAGTCAGGAGAAGTCAGATGCCAGGGGGAGGGCAAAGCAGGAGCCATTTCCATTTGCTGAGCCCCCAGACCCACCTCTGTTTCCACCCCAGGAACTTCTAGAAAGCAGGAAGCACCCCCATTTCTAGTCATTTCCAACCCAGGGCTCTCAGAAACCATGAGAATTTGCTTTCTATCCAAGGTACTAAGAAATCCCCATTTTCTACCCAGGAACCTCCAGAGATCATGAGGCACCCCCATTTCTACACAAAGATGCAGGATCATTCCCATTTCCACCACAGGACCTCCATTTCCATCTCAGGCAGACCTCATTTCCACCCAAAGGAAACCCAAGAATCCTCCCTTTTACTCCAGAATTCCCCAAAACCACTAGTGGCTCTCCTCAAAACTCAAAGCAACCAATGCCAGGACAGTGGTTTCAAAACTGCTGACTACATCTCTTCACTATATCTCTGCTGCATTCAGCTTTTCTCCGCAGGCCAGCACGACACGAGGACCACTGCAACTTCTGTTTACAGATGCTGCGCATGCGGGTAACCCGGTGCACGCACAGGCCTGCATCCCTTCAGACATCAAGCATCCCTTAAGTACATTAAATTCTCCCTCCTAGGACTCCATCATGTTGCCTTCATGTCAGCAGCCCATCCAGAGGCCTGGAGAAGCTTGCACGCAGCTGCATGCGGACTCAGGAAGTCAGCGCAGCATTTTTTTTTTTGTTTTCTTTTGTTTTAACACTCGGTTCAGATTTGGGAAATTTTCTTTAGAACTGCAAGGGCAAGCAACTTAAAAAATATAAATAAATCAAAAAGCGTAGATTCTGCAAAAATTGGATCTGTCCGGAAGGGGGTGGGGAGAGAGTGAAGGGGCTGGATAGATCCCTCCGATGTGCCAGACCTGGTCCGTGTCTTTCAATAAAAAAAGAAATCAGCTTCAAACCCAGCTTCGGGAGCTGGGTGGAGTTTATTTGACTGAGTGTTTCTCAGCCACCTCTCACTACCCAGCGGCTGAGCTGGAGCCCGCAGGGGAAGGCAGAGCTCCATGCCCAGATAACGTTGCTGAAGTCAGTGTGGTTTAACTGTAGGGTAACTAAAGGCAGGACAGCAGGCCGAGTTCCCCTGGTGGGCTGCGCTTTCTGTCCCCTCCACCAGCTTGATGTGAAAGTGGCCAAGGGGCACTGGGGGGGAAAGCACCCCACCCCCAGTCTGAGGCACTTAAGCAGTGTGTCAAGGCAGGAAATCTCTCTCTTGGGGAACAGGAAGTGCGGTTGCTGTCAATGCAGACGTTGCTCCGGTTTGTGCTGATCTAAAGGAGAGATGGAGCAAGAGCAGCAGCCGCACGGTGGGAGCAGATGACAGCTGCCAGCCTGACCACGATTAGCCTCACCAGTCCAGAGCCAGACGAGCATGGGCAAGGGCAGGAGTGGGCTTGGTCGGCCCTGCGGTGCTGGCAAGGCTGCTGTTAGCTTTAAGGCAAGCATCATGCCCCCCCGCACCTCCCACCTCCACTTCTGCTCCCCCGCTTCCTCCCTCCACCAAGGCCTGTGGATTAGAGAATCACCTGATGGAGACTCTAGACCTGCAGCAAGTCACCATAAAAACCTCACTTTCTTCCCACATGCCTTGTGGAATTTAGAGATTACTTTTGGCCGAACAACTGCGATTCGCCTCCTTTAACTCTCTGGATGCCGTGGGCGTCTTTCATGCACACGTTTATCAGCCTGTGTCAGAGCACTCCCTCTCTGACTTCAGCGGGGGCCGGTGGAGCTCCATCACAGCTCTTGCCATTACTAAGGTGCAGCTAAACTGACCGATCACCCCAAACGTTCTGGAAGAGCCTCATATTTGGGGTTTGTCCCCCCAAGACATCCCAGAGATAGGACTTTTGCTCCCCACAAATTGACCCCAGAGGAGTCAGGCAAGGTCCTGCTGAGAAGATGCTGCCTGGCACAGTGCTCAGGCAGGCAGACGGCTTCCCAGGCCCCCAGAGAGGCAGAATCAGAGGGCAGAGAGGACCTCGAGGGGCACATAGCCCCCACCCCACAGAGAAGGGACACATTTTCCAGGTGGCCACATTTGACATGCACGCTTCCCAAGAGAGCTACAAATTTGCCTTAAAGGCAACCGACAGCTCAAGCTGCAGCCTCCTTGCAAAGCTGCACTCATTAGCCTCGGCGCCGAGTGCTGTCCAACTTCCAGCTCAGCACTGTGCGAATGTGGCACTGCACCTGCAGCACCACGCTGCAGCGGCTACATGACTTCTGCTCCAGGAAGTCCATGGTGCCTCTGGGACTGTGTCTTGGATTTTGCTCCCCAAAGGCTTGGTGCAGCCCCTGGGGACCCTCTGTCCTAGCACGCAGGGAGTCAGCTGGTTCAGAGGATGCAAGAGGGGTTTTTTTGTGAAGTAGCAGCCCCCACTGGGTATGCACTATGGACGTGAAGCAGCTGGTGCTCGGGCATTGGGAGCTCATTGGGTTCCTGCGGCTTTCAGTGCATTTGCAAGGGGCCTGCTCCTCCACAATCTCTCTGGAAAGTGTGGATGTGCCTGTGAAACGTGTGCGCACAGCCAGGCAGCCTCTGGCCTTGGCTGGGTAGGTCTCGGTGGCAAGAGCTCAGAGAGGACATGAGCCAGGCATGGTCATAGGCTTCAGGCCTCTTTGTTGTTGACCGACACCTTTGGCTGCTCACACATTTCAGGGACACAGCATGGGTGAGATCGGGGTGCAGCTGAGGCAGGTGCAATGCGAGCTTCCACACCGGCCCCCACCCAGCCTCACATCTTGGCAACAGCTGTGCCCACACCGTACAATCGAGCTGGAGTCAAGAACAAGCGTGAGACATGGCTGTCCTTGGCCCTTTGCCAGCACAGCATGATTGAATGTGCTTTACCAAGGGAGCTGAGCCCCCATTGATGGGAAAAAGCCACACTGGATAGCTTATGAATCCCAGCCTCTCGCACTTCCCCAGCTGTCAGGACACCTTCAAGAACCATCACCTGGCTCACGGCATTTGGCTTTCCCTTGTAGAAGCCGAGCTGCCTCCCCTGGGGACTGGCTCCTCTCCTGCCTCTGCCTCAGCTACTCCCCCTTCCTGTCTGAAAACACAGCACTGCCCCACTTCTACTGCCTGCGATAGCATGGCTTGTGGTTAGCCAGCTTTCAGATCCTAAGCCGAGGGCAACTATGTAGAGAATGCCACACACCACTGTCCTCTACAGCTTCACACCACCTCCTTCCAGCTGTCCCCATCTCTCTCACAACTTCGTATCATCGCTGTCCTGATGGTCCAGCCACGGGCCAAGCAGTCCAGGTGACCCAACCCTGCTCTCTCTCTCTAGACCCTAGAAGGAAATCGCATCCCCATGGCTCGTTCAGCCTTGACCTCTGCTAGGGCTGTGCAAAGTACCGCTTACAGCAGGGAGGAAGGGGGTTGAGAGGTAGGCCTATGCCTCTACTGATGTGGCTCTGAGACCCGACACACTCATTTCATGTAGGCCAGCAAATTGCTGGCAGATGATAGCAGGTTGCTGACCTAGACCTGAATTAACCTCGTGGCTCCCTCCTGTAACCGCCCATGTCTTCATCCCTTGCTGTATGCTGTGAGTCGGAAAGAGATGCTGCTTACTACCTGGCGGTCCAATAGCAGACCTGGCATAATCAGGGTCCCTATCCATGATAGCAAAGCTGGGACCCTTCTTGGGGGCGAAATGGAGAAGACAAGGAACTCCTACCTCATCCGGGACCATGACCAGAGGGTATTTGTCTTCAGAGAGGAAATTAAAGAGACACCAGAGCTTGAAGGCATCTTGATGGGACACAACGCTGTTCCCATTTCGGTCTGGCTTGTAATTCTTCTTCGCCGTCAAAGTCCAGCAGAGTTCATCGAAATTCTCCTTGACAAAAGCACCTTCCTCCACCTGCAAACAAGCCCCGTGAACCAGTGATGGCAGTGCCGCCACACTACAGAGTCCCAAGGATGATACCACAGTACTCGTCAGCTGGAGGGGAGGGCACTTAGGTCTCCTAGTGCCTCTGTGAAAAGGAGGAGTATCATCCCTGCTTCACATGGGGGGAAATGGAAGCACGGGGAGGGGAAAGCACTGGTCCAAATTCATACAGTGTGTCACTGGCACAACTGGGAATACAACCCAGCAGGAGTCCTGGCTCCTTGTCCACTGCATTCATCACCAAAACACATCCTCTCTTCACTTTCAGTTTAAACCCAGAGCACAGGGCAGGAGGGAGAGTGCTTCCAGCACTGCAGTATCTCAGCCTCGCATCAGAACATCTGCCTTGGAAACCAGCCAAACGCACTTCAGTTCCCTGCTGAGTCCCGAGACTGAGCGACTGCTGCAAAATACCCAAAGGCAGCACAAAATATATAATCAAGTTCTAATATATAATAAAATATAGAATATATATTTTATTATATAGTATAATAAAATATATATAATAAAGACCTCCAAGGAAGGAATTCTACCTGATCTACACATCAAAGAGCTACTCAGCACAGCTCACAGAGACACTCTCATGGACCCAGAGGGAGTCAGCCTTCCATCTTCAGCTCCCTCTGTGCAAAAATGAAGTTTGTTTCCTACTTATGGGGACGTTTTACCATCTTGTACCATCTATACTTTTCCCACAGCCCAATGAAGGGACTTTGATCCTGAAAGCTTGCATAAAAGGACAATTTTCTTGCAATTTCCCAGTTGGTCTAATAAAAGGTATCATTTTGGAACCAAGAGTTCTAGTTTTTTGTATAATAAAGATCAGCATTTGTGGAGGGGGGGCCTCCCATCTGGGTCTCAGGGCCTGGTATGAAGCTGGGTGGGGATAATCATCTCTATTTTACAGGAGGAGGGAAACTGAGGCAGAGAAAGCACCCAAGGTCCTTCAGCAGGTCAGCAGAAACACCAGAAATACTACTCTCTGGCCCTTTTATCACAGGACTTTGAAAGTTAGGGCTCCTTTAAAGCCAGTCAGTTTATTTTGTCACTGATTATTTTGGAAGTGTGACACACATGACTGTGACTTTAGGGCTCGGTCATCTCTCACAGCTCTGCAGTTCCTTTTGCTTCAGAAGGGCCCGACAATATTTGCAAACTGTGTACAGTCAGCCCCAGTGAAATGCGGCCACCTCTGGAGTGAAGCGCTGTGTACACATGACGCAGCACTCTGCCGAAGGGCAAAGGAGAGGGAAATTTCTGGGCCACAGGAAAAAAAAAAAGAAATTTAGTCTATTCAAAATTCCCCCCTTGGGACTTTAGTGGTCATGAAGAAACCACCTGGGGTTTTTAAAGGTCTCTTTTGAAAGATCCACCCACAGGATGTTCCAGGGACCTCAGTTAATCGCTTATCAAACACTTGGTCCAGGAGGGATAGCAGGATTTGAACCTGTGACCCCACAGATTCTGCACTGGGATGTCTCTTTGTCTGGGCTAATGGTCCCAGGGTAGATCCTTGACTACAATGCTGAGTGGTGGCATCTTCAACTGCTAAGCCGTGCTGTGCACGAACACCTCTGACACACAGGGACCCATATTGTACAAGCGAGCCCATGATTGGGGCACCTAAGAACGGCCCAAGCAACAAGACAGTGCTGAAAGGGAAGCACATCCCATCTCTAACAAGCAAGGCACACCCTGTGCCACAGCACCATACAAAGAGACAGAGGCCAAGACACTAAACCCACAGGGCCAGATCCTGATGCCTCTCTGCAAGGAGTAACCTACACCCCTAGGCTGGTGGAGTAAAGTGCTGTTCAATCCAGATCATCGCAGCCTGTCCTTTAGACACTTAGCTGGGGCCCTTCTTCTTTAAAGAGCACGGTGGAAGAAAGCTGTTAACAATTTTTCCTCTCCCCACATGCCCAAAGGAAGCAGCTCGTAAAGCATCAAGCTGCAGCGCTGCAGCTTAAGAAACAAAGATGTCTTTGAGCTGCAGGAAAAAGAAAAATCAAAACACACAACCTTTGGCCCCTGGCACCAGGTTCTACTTTCATCCTCCCCTTTCTGCTAAATCAGAAACAAGGTAACAACAACAAAAATCCCACTAAAGGAAAAGGGGCTGGAATTTCCTGCCAGGTTTTCCACCCTGGGCAATTTTTACCTCCGGGTATCATCACCCTTTCGGAAATACTGACACAGCGGCCTCACCACGCAGAGGCCTGTCTGAGTGGAAGGGATGACTTTGTTTGCAAAAACTTGTCACAAGGCTAAAAGCATTCAGCCTTTCTCTAGCATTTTCATTCTTCCAACTTCCCCTGCCCTGGCTGTAAAACATGCATTTTTCCCTACCACCCCGGCAGGTGTGTGTGTTATGTCCTCACCTGTGTCTAACCGGAAGGGGACAGGAGTCTGGTTCAGCCCCAGCTCTTTAGCTCTGGTTTGTGGGTCTGGAAGCCCCCGGTTCAAGCCCAGATGGTGACCATCAGACCTACAGACCCCTTAATCCCAGTCAAACGGTTTCCTTCCCAATGGGAAAATGCATCTTAATCTACCAACAAGGGGTGCTCCTGAGAGGTGACTAGCTGCCTAATGGAGAGGAAAGGAATTGAATTTCATCCTAGTCGAGCAGCAGCTGGGAACCAGTGAGAGCAAAGGTACTCACCTTGTCCAGGATGTATTTGTTGAGGTACGGCATGTAGCCCTGGCTCGAGACCGGCCCGTCGTCGTCATCCCGGAAATGCTCCTCCAGTGCCACCGGGTCGTGTGGGATGTGAAGTACCGTGTACAGGTTGTGACTGAGCACCTGGCACAGAAAGAAGAACTTGCTCTGCATGGCTTCTGGGCACCGCTCTCTGAGATAAAGAAAGGTGCCCCGCACTGACACAGGGGGACCTGCCTGCCTGTTTTCGTGTGTCCTGGGCTGGGGTGCTGCGGTGTCTCGGCCCCTATCCTGCATTCGTGTCCAAACAACCCTCCAGAAGTCAGGGAGGTGCTACCACGGGTGCAACAAGGGATTCCTGGAAAGCTGCATCCCAATGAAAGGGATATGCTTCAAAGAGGAGGCAGCTGTGGGGCCCATGGCCATTGATTTCCCCATGTAAAGCAGAATACTTTCTACCCCCTGTAGCCAAGGAAGAGACACAAAACCTCAGGGTAAGAAACAAGCTGATACTGAGCTGCTCTTGGCTGGAGCAATTTAGACCTGGTCCCTAAAGACGCTACTCATGTTGGGCAAGTGTCATTCGAAATGCGGGTCCAAGGATCGCATCAAATTCGAGATGTGCTTTCCAGGGTTTCTAGGATGCTACGTCAGTGGGATGGAGGGGGCATGGAAGGAGTGCCAGTGCACGCAGCTTTGTGGATAAAATGTGAGACAGCCTCAAAAGACAGTCCAGGGACAGTCACTCAGAAATAAAATGTGCTTTGGCTCCATTGGCAGCCACAGGACATTTGTTTTCCATGAAGCAAGTGTACCAGCAAAAGCAATGCACTGGAGAGTAACAGTCACAGGATGAGTTTCACGCTGGCAGCCAGGAACATCTGCCTCTCTTTCCAGATTCTGCATAAACAGAAGCATTTTCCTCAATTAGCCAGGCGCTGGGCACCACTGGGCTGTGTTTAGCCGAGTGGGAATTGGAGTGCCAGGGCAAAGTGGCAGGGGATGAGTGCCCTGTACTTCTAACCAGACGCAAAGCTTAACACAAAATTGAGTGCAAACTCTGCTCAGCCTCTGGCTCCTCAGCCCATGCACTGACTGCAGTCTCCTCTCCCCTCCTTAGAGGCAGGTTTGCAAATGCTCCCAAAGGGGTTAGGAGGGGTCTTGGCAAATAATAGCATCCCGCAGACAGCACAGAGGGGCAACCGTGACAGCAGGCTGTGCC